TCTCTCTCTCCGGGTATTTCGTTCAACTTTTCTGGTAATTGTTTTTAATGTTATCTCTGTCTCTCTCTCTCACTCTCTCACTCTCTCTTATCCTCCCTTCCCCTATTTCTCTCTCAATCTGTTTTCTCTCTCTCTCTCTCTCTATCTGTACCATACTTATATCCATTTGTCTCATTCCAGAGATCACAATTCCAAAGTACTCGTCCACTGCAAGATGGGCATCAGTCGATCAGCTTCAACCGTGAGTACAGTGTCCGGACTGTCTTTGAAGAACCTTTTGTTTTGTTGGGTTTTTTGGGGGGGGGGTCTTTGGACCTTCGTGTCTTTTAGGTATAATGCTCCTTGAAAATGTTTCAGAATGTTGTACACTCTGCTAAAGTAATTTAAAAAGTAATGCCAGAATAATCAGAATTTTCAAAAAGTATGTAAATGCAGTTTATTGTTGTTAAACAGTATTTCTTTTTTATTACTGGAAAATTTATCGATGCATTTACACTGTTTTATGACATGGTGGTAGGCAATCGTAATAGAATGCCATGTTCATGTTGGGTCAAATTGATTTTTTGTTTTGTTTTGGCTCAGTTTGACTTAAACCGTTAGTTTAAAGTATTGGTGATGTGTACTTTAGTTTTGAAAAGATTTCAAATTAATCTAATCAAATCAGCAGTCTTTGGTTATGTCTGTCTTGTTAGTTAAACATTTCATTCCTTGTTCTTTTCCATATTTTTGGGGGGATGGGGGTTGTTGTTTTTGTTTTGGGGGGGAGTTGTTTTAATTTTCTTACTTTTATGTAACTCCTATGCCAGCGCAGTTCTATTAACCCAAAATTGTGGGTGGTTAGCGGGTGCTCTGGTGTGGTTGCTTCTTCTTTCCTACCAAACATCTGTAGTCTTTATCTCCCCTCCTTCTTTTTTGTGTTTGTTGCTCTTTTGTAACACCTCTAATCTTCGGCACTTATATGATCTTATTGTGTTGCAAGTGCCGTAAAACACTTACTAAAACATAAAACCTGACCCGAAATTCAAACGTCTTCTCGGTGTGACCAGGTTATGGCGTACTTAATGAAAGAGAACCGCTGGGGCGTCGATGAAGCCTACCAGTTTGTGAAAAGCCGCCGTAGCTGTGTGCGTCCCAACGAAGGCTTCATGGAGCAGCTGCACATGTATGAGGCTATCCTCACTGCCAGGTACCTGCTCCTCTTCTTCTGTCGTTCTTGTAGAAATAGTCTTACACTGGTTGTTGTGGATCTCAGCATGGCTTGCTGGCGATAGATAGAGAGAGAGATAGTTAAATAGACATATAGATAGATAGATAGAGAGATTGATAAATAGACATATAGATAGATAGAGAGAGAGATTGATAAATAGACATATAGATAGAGAGAGAGAGAGATTGATAAATAGACATATAGATAGAGAGAGAGATCTGTTTCTCTGCTTCTGTTGTTCTTACGTAATTGTTGTGGATCTTGCCGTGGCTTGCTGGTGGTAGATAGACAGAGAGAAAGATAGATAAATAGACATATATATAGAGAGAGAGAGATCTGCTTCTCTACTTCTGTCATTCTTGTAGAAATAGTTTTTTCTTACACTGGTCGTTGTGGATCTCAGCGTGGCTTGCTGGCAATAGATAGATAGATAGAGAGAGGCAGAGAGAGAGATCTGCTCCTCTGCTTCTGTCGTTCTTGTAGAAATAGTTGTGGATGGTTGGCGGGTGCTCTGGTGTGGTTTGCTTCTTCTTTCTTATCAAACATCTATCGTCCTTATCTCTGCTCCTTCTTTGTTGTGTTTGTTATTCTCTTGTAACTCATCTAATCTTCGACACTTATATGACCATATTGTGTTGCAAGTGCTGTAAAACTCTTACTAAAACTAACTCTAATCTTCAGCACTTATATGACCTTATTGTGTTGCAAGTGCCGTAAAACTTTTACTAAAACTAACTCTAATCTTCAGCACTTATATGACCTTATTGTGTTGCAAGTGCCGTAAAACTTTTACTAAAACTAACTCTAATCTTCAGCACTTATATGACCTTATTGTGTTGCAAGTGCCGTAAAACTCTTACTAAAACTAATTCTAATCTTCGGCACTTATATGGCCTTATTGTGTTGCAAGTGCCGTAAAACTCTTTCTATCTTCGGCACTTATATGACCTTATTGTGTTGCAAGTGCCGTAAACCTTTTTCTAAAACTAACTCGAATCTTTCGCACTTATATGACCCTATTGTGTTGCAAGTGCCGTAAAACTCTTTCTAAAACTAACTCGAATATTCCGCACTTATATGGCCTTATTGTGTTGCAAGTGCCGTAAAACTCTTTCTAAAACTAACTCTAATCTTCGGCACTTATATGACCTTATTGTGTTGCAAGTGCTGTAAAACTCTTTCTAAAACTAACTCGAATCTTCCGCACTTATATGACCTTATTGTGTTGCAAGTGCCGTACCCCTCAAATAAACAAACCGTACTTCCCCGACTGATATGATAATGACTCTCATCATCCTCAGCAACAAACGAGACATCTTTCGCTGTCAGTCGGATCAGAATCTGCTGGATGAGCCGGGCAAGGAGGAGATGGACACGTCCCAGGGCTCTTTTTTAGGCGACAGTCTCTTCCATGTGATGTCTCACTCTGAGTGGCCCACGGCTGCTGGGAGTGGGGCTCATGAGGAAGAGTGGATGCACCAACTTCACACAGGTACCTCTTAACCTCCTCCTCCTTCTCTTCCTTCGTCTTCATTATCATTTTTTCTTTTTTTTCTTCTTCTTCTTCTTCTTCTTCTTCTTCTTCTTCTTCTTCTTCTTCTTCTTCTTCTTCTTCTTCTTCTTCTTCTTCTTCTTCTTCTTCTTGTAACTTTTCTAATCTTCGCCACTTACATGACCTTGTGTTACAAATGCAGTAAAACACGTACCAAAACAAAAATATTGGATATAAACCTTTTGTTTTCTTTAACAGGAAGGAACTGTTATAGAGTCCATGTGTTGCAGTTCTTTATGTGGGCTCTTTTAGGCTCCTCCTTCTCCTGTACCACTTCTACTACTACGACCACTACAACTGCTACTACTACTACTACTACTACCACTACTACTGCTACTACTAGTCTGAGGATGCTTATTTTTTCTTCATCTGTTTCCAGGGTCTGTTCCCAACTCAGACTTGATGCACATAGAAGCAGACGTGGAAACAGAATCTCGCAGCGCCGACTCTATAGAGGAGGCTCTACCAGATATGCCATCGCCCCCTCCCACAAATCAAAGGGAGGTTATACTCACGTCTGCTGACCAAAGTCTTTCAGCAACTTTATCATCATCATCACCACCAACAGGAGCGACCGTGGGTTTAATGGAGGGAGGAGATAGGGCTTGCGGAGGTCTGAGCTTTGTTGATACAGCTGAGGGCAACATGTGGCTCAAGCAGGAAGGAATAGATGATGCAGCATACCTCTCGATGCAGGGAGGAGGGGGGATGTCCAACGCTGCCCTCGGTCCATCGCGAATTCGGCCGGACAGCTCTTGGATCCGGCTTGATGCCGTTGAAGATGAGACTTCTACGGACGGTCCCCCAAAAATTTCGGAGGATGGCGAAGAGCAGACTCTGCCGTCGGGGGAGAGTTCTGTGGCGTGTGAGATTTTGGACGACGCTATGGCTCCGTTCGGGGATGGAAGTGCTAGCGGAGGTCACGGCAGGGTCGATGCGGATGGTCGCGGCTTGTTATTCTTACAAGACGCCACCGTCACAGACAGTTCCGACTTTAGTGAGGATGCGAAGAATAAGCCGGATGCTCACTGTGAGGTCACACAGACTCCGACGAACCTATCCCCCAGCAGTTTGCACAGCGCGCAAGTAGGTCAGCCGTCCGCCTTCACAAAGTACGTTGCCGAAGACTCGCAGCACCAGCAGCAGCAGAGGCGGGCTGAGCCATCTCCCCGTGATGCCTCCCAGCTCGACCCATCGGCAAAAATAGCAGGAGCAACCAAGGGCGGGTTCCTCAACACCTGTCAATCACTGCCACATCTGCAACAGGCCACGCCCATCTCGTCTGTCCCTCCCGCCACGTCATCGGCCCCACATCAGCTCCCAGCAGGGAGAGTTGCCAGAGATAAACTCCCTTTGGGTGTGACAATGTCGTCATCGTCTTCGTTATCGTCACATCGGCCACAGTTTGCTGACCCAGTTCTCTGTGGTGCAGGGGAGGAGGCGGTGTCCAAGTCTGGCACACACAGCCCAGGGGAAGAAGAGGCGGGATTGGCTACTGAGTCCGATAAGCCTCTCCTCAGAAAGGAGGGAGATAAAGGTGAGGTAGTGTGTTGCCTTTGGCAAAAAGGAGACTCCTGGAGTTTTATTTTATATGACTATATATCCAGTTCCATAAAATGTTCAGGAGAGCCAAAAAAAAATAACTACACACCTTTGCCTCTCAACAGCCAGTTGCTTTGAATATCTACACAACACTTTCCTCGCCTTATTATTCAAATATCGATACCAGACTAAGGCGGCAGAAGAGTTAACGCTTAGATGCTACTGGATCACTAACGACTAAGGCGGTAATGTGCTCTGTGTTTTGAACTATCAGGTGAATTCGATAACTCAATTTCCTCCAAAACTGGATTTACTGTCTTTCGAAATAAATCTCCAGACTGGTGAATTAGAAAATAGTGTAAAAAAGCAAGAGTGGCGAATGTTTATTTTTACAGGAATTAGAGTGTGGCCCTCTTCTTTTTTCTTTGCTGTAGTTAAAAGATGAACTAAATGGAATGCTGACTGTAGTTGGAGTTCAAGTACATTCTCATCAAGTGATAAATTCATGGTAAACCACATTGCGAATCCCTTGAGGAGGAAGAGGGTGGGGTAAGAAAGATGGTCGGACAGGGATGTAGATTCTAGCTGCTCCGGTTTTCTTCATTTTTATTATCATTGACCTCCACCAAGACTCACAAGATGCCATTCTCAGATACAAGCAGATATTTGTTTTTGTCTGTCTTACTTTGTGGGTGGTCTGCGGGTGCTCTGGTGTTGTTTGCTCCTTCTTTTCTATCAAAATCTATCTTCCTTATCTCTCCTTTTTTGTGTGTTTGTTACTCTCTTGTAACATCGCTAATCTTCGGCACTTATTTATATGACCTAATTGTATTGGAAGCACCGTAAAACTCTTACTAAAACTAACTGTGTATGTTACTCTCTTGTAGCACCTCTAATCTACCGCTCTTTTATGACCTAATTGTGTTGCCAGTGCCGTAAAACTTTTACTACAACTATACTGCCCTTTTCCAGGAGAACCTTTGGCAGAGCCACCGGCCGGGAAGATTCCGCTGAGCAAAGTGGAGCTGGGAGTGAGGCAGTACTTCTTTCGGGAGAAGATCCCCTGGAACCCGGGCCGCGTGCGCAAGATGCGGGAAGAAATTAACACAACGGGGCAGATCTGGGGAGAGGATGCGGAGAAGGGGTCACCCGGCTCAGGGGAGGGAAGCGAGGAGGGTAGCAGCGGTGGTGGAAATGGATGGCTCTGTCCTGCTGGGTCAGGTGAGGAACTATATTTGTTTCGAAAGAGAGGGGGGGGGGGTATCTCGAATCGAAATGGTCGCTTTTAAGGACGAACGGGGCGAACCCAGGTTTCGGGGTTTACCATAATTCTTGACCTACACCAAAGGTGGGCATTGCACTACCTGTAGGAGAAGTTTGGTTTCATTTGTGTGTATATTTGTTTGCTAATAGAGAAAACTCTCCCTGTCTTTTAAAGAAACTGAACAAGGGTCCAAAAACTTTACCTTTAAGGATAGCCCCCTTGTGCTTAAAAGCGACCAAATGTGAGTACCCTAAAACATTGTGTTTGAAGATATTTGCTTGGGAAGAGGAGAGGAGAGGGGGGGGGGCTTGGGTTATTGTTATCGTCTTGGAATGGAGTGTGAAATGTGAGTACTTCAAAAAACATAGCATAGGAAGATAAAGGTGCATGGTGCACATAAGGACAAAGATTTGTGCAAATGTGCAAATCATGATATTATTTTTGTGTTTTTTTAATCAAATGAAAGACCACTTTATTTTGTTCTTTGAAGGCCTGCGAAAGGTGTGTTTGTGTATGTGTGTGTCGTGTATATATGTAGTGAAACTCCAAACCAGTGTGCCAGGATCTGAACAATAAAAATTTATCAAAGTCAATCAGTTTGCAAGCCATTTTTGACCCACAGGCCAGTTTCTAAACATACTTTGCAAGTACCGTAAGTAAGTAAGTTTATTCAGTGTTTAAGGCCATTGGCCCACATCACATCACATAAAACACTCCTTTGATAAGTATAGTTTCCATAATGAATAAGTACAGGTTGTGCACATATCTCTTATCATGGGTCAAACATTGCATATTTCTGTCTCCGGGCCGAGTCTGGCTGGGAGGGACTAACAATTTTCTTTGCAAAACTGCACCCATAAAATGCTTACTGAGACAAACATGTTGCAAATCAAAGTTACTCTTGTCGTGTTCCTGTAGAAGTGAGCAGCGACCAGGCGCTGCTGGAGCAGCTAGCTGAGCAGCCGGCCTTGACCCCTCTGTCGCAGTCGCAGAGCTGCATGGAGCTGTACGTACTTCCACCGGCCGCTGAGGGGGAGGAGTCGTGCCCCTTGAGCCTGTACCAGAAGGAGGAAATCCCGCTGGAGCCCGGCACCGTGCTCAGGACGCGGCTGGAGATTGAGGAGAGACAGCGGTAGGTGCAAGGTGCACGCAGACTTCAACATAAGTTAAGGACCATCTTGACAGACAGCCCCGTTTTTTTAAATTCTGGAAAAAAAAGACAGCAAAGAATGTCTCCCATTTTTTTGCTCTTAAAGTGTTAATGAGTTAACTATGCGTACTGCAATGTCTCCACTTAAGGGCCAGAACCACAACGTGCAGCACGGAAATGCAAGGGGAATTTTAGCCAAATTTGCAAGCGGTCCTTAACTTATGTTGAAGTCTTATGTTCACAGATGCCTGTACACTCACACGGGCAGATACACAACCTACAGGCATGTGCATGAATGAGCACACAAATGCAGGTGCACTTTTCCACATTTGCACCATCATATTTATCAAATCTGTTTAGACTGTGCGTTCCAACTCTCAGTTTAAGGTCATCAGCTGACGAAAAGAAATTTATTTTACTATCTATGAAACTTAAAACAATAGCTGAAAGGCCATTTGAATACCAAGACTCCAAGATCTGGAATGCTTTACCAAGTACTTTAAGAGAGATCAAATCTTTTGATTATTTCAAATGTCAGCTGAGGTCATTTCTGTTTTTAAATTAATAAGATAATTTAGAGTAATTTTCTTTTAGTCTGAACGCCACGTTTTATGTTACTTGTGTGGTTTGCTTCTTCTTTCCTATCAAACTTCTATCGTCTTTATCTCCCCTCCTTCTTTTTTGTGGTTTGTTACTCTCTTTTAACACCTCTAATCTTTGGCACTTATATGACCTTATTGTGTGGCAAGTGCCGTAAAACTCTTACTAAAACTAAACTTTCCGTCTACAGTTTGTTTTGCGGTGAGAGTGACCAGGAGATTTTCGGCACCACTCGGCCCGTGGTCCGCACAGCCAGTCTCAAGCGAGATTCGGAGAGCCCTCGGCCGCGCTACTGTGAGCAGCGGCGGATGACATGCGGGCCCATCATGTCGCCGCTCAGCGGGAAGTCTCTGGATGACCTCCGACCTGTTGGGTCAGCTGACGACAACGACATCAGCAACTTTTCATTTCCTGTTTTCCGCGGTTTTCCAGGTCAAGCAGAAACTACGGAGGGCGGAGAAAGGAAGACAGCGGAGCAGATGAGGGGTGTGTACTGCGGGTTGTTGTCTCAATTCTTAATGATTATAATAATCACACGCTTATTCAACAAGTTTGAAATTACTGCTTTCAAGGCAAACAGTGATACAAGTGTCAAATATGCCCAGCAACATTTATGCGTCAAACATCCCTCACATATAATGACAACAATAGCTGCTCCATCAGTGTCTAACGATGACCAATACATCCGCCAAGGGGAATATTTCCCAGCAAAATTGAAGAATTTGAGATTAAGATGACTTGTGGCTTCTGCTGTGGCTGATAAGACCAATTCACGTACAGGATGCATCTTTTTACCCTAAAATCAGGGCCAAAGTCGTGATACGTCAAATCTATGGGAAATGAGACTAAGGGTGGAGCTGTAGAAAAGGATGTGGTTCTGAAGTGGATTGTTGATGTGCAGGAAGTAATTCCAGCAGAAATTTTTCACCGATACAGGCACATAAATAGGTCTTTGTTTAGCAATGCCCACCGAGCGCATTTTGTTCTGCCGGTTTTTGGCCCCCGCAGCGGGGGTGTTTCATGGGACGCACTAACGCAAAGGTTGTTGTCTTCAACTCGCTCTCACGCCGCTTCTCGTGAATGGATATGAATGAAACTTGGCAGCCAATCAGAAAAGAGGTCAATCTCGTAGTATGCAGTTTGACAACATTGTACCCATCCTAGAAGCAGTCGAAAACGTTTGCGAAAGTGGTTGATGTGGTGCGCTTTGAAGGTTTTTCGGAGCTGTGATTTGTCAAACTGACTGATACGTTGTACACCATTTTTCTTTATTCCCTTAAAATTTCATGCTTCTGTGTTTAGCGGTTTTGGCGTAATCTTTAAAAATGTGGGAGTAACTAAGGAAAAAAGCGACATTGCCATTTGCGCGTGCTGGGTGAACGGCCGGCGACGTGGAAATTTCCACTGAGTGACGTCATCAGCCATCGGTCGCCTCGGGCGCTACAAACGAGGCCCCGCTTATGTGAAATGGAAAGGGGGGGAAGGATACTTGAAAACTAAACGGGGGCCTTGATAACTTGCGTTTTTGTTGCATTTTAGTCACAATACAAAAGATGTAGTCATTTTTATTTGCTTGATTGCATGACAGAAGAATAGAAACAGAAAAGCAAACATCTTGAGAAGTGGTATGGCATTGTGTTTGCGTTATGAAAGCCTGTTCCCCCCTCTTGGGAAAGCACACACTTGGACGCGTCCTGTGTACTCTGTTTGGGAAAAGTGAGGCATTAAGATTGTTATTAAAGAGTATGGTACTTATTTAGTCCAGTCTGGGAAGATAGTCCCGTTTATACATTGTTATCGTTCACGCGCGCGTGAGAGAGAGAGAGAGAGAGAGAGAGAGAGAAAGAAAGAGAGAGAGAGAGAGAGAGAAGGGGGGGGTGTAAATATGTTACATTTATTGTATGAGTTGTAGCCTACACATGCGAAATATTCCCATGACTTGTAAACTATATTATCTGAACGCATCTTAATCTACCACACAATAGGACACTGTCCAACAATGGATATACACAGAGACGATCTTATTTTCTATAACAAAGTATGCATGCTTTTACTAGTACAAAACTGGATTTATTAGTAGCTCTCTACTTACATTTTTGTGACAAATTGATCCAGAATATTGCTTGGCAAGGAAGAACATATGACTGATAATCTTTGTAAATCTGTAAAGAACGCCACTTTTTTACCTGTTAATGTCTTTACAACTCAAAAAGTATGACAGATATTAAAAATCTGACTGCATGACTAAATTCTGCATTAAAAAATGTACTAGACTGCCAAGTTTCATTTACATATTCCAAGAAATAGGCGAGCTATGACAAATATTGTCTCAACAAAGGCCAACATTTTTACCTATAAACGTCTTCATAACTCAAAAAATAGGATAGCTATGAAAAATCTGAAAGCAGGACTAGATTCTGCACTAGAAAATGTACTGGGTTGCCAAGTTTCCTTTAAATACTCAGAGAAATGAGCGAGTTATGACGAATATTGTCTTAAAACTCACCAAAGAACGTCCCATATTTTGGGGTTTTTTCATTATATAAAAGTGTACCAGAAATTAATTGATTAAAAAATCCATAACTTTTTTGTTTATTGATGGATTTTAAAAATTCAAAAAGTTCTATGCTCAGTGAAGATAAGGCTACAAAATGCACCTATTTGCAAACATTTTCTGGCAAAAAAAGGATTTTCGTGGTCATTGCTACTTTGTTGTGTTTGACTTTATTGTGTTGCAAGTATCATAAACCACTTTCTAAAACGACCATCTCCAATGTTGCAAGTATCATAAACCACTTTCTAAAACGACCAAAAACAAAATTTTAATATGAGCATTTTGAGGGAATTTTTTTCATATCACCCCTGTTTTTTATTTGTATCAAGGCCTTTCATCTCTAGCCTTCTTGCATCGTGGATGGTTGGTAAGTGCTCTGTTGTGGTTTGCTCCTTCTTTCCTGTCGAACGTCTGTCGCCCTTACGCCCTTATCTCTCCTTCTTTCGTATCAAACGTCTATCGTCCTTATCTCTCCTTTTTTTTGTGTGTGTTTGTTACTCTCTTGTAACCTCTAATTTTACTCTCTTACACAACCTTATTTTGTTGCAAGTGTCGTAAAACTCTTACAAACACCCCCCCCCTCCCCCCCCCCCCCCCAAACTTCATGCATGTAGCATCAAGCTAAGTCTTCTCCTTCCCTTTGGCAGAGAGTTCGTGTGGTCAGGTACTGGCTACCAGTAAAGAACCAGACACAACTGTGCCTGACCAGTGGTCAAGCATGGCTGGAGCCTCGGAGTCGACCATCATCGAGCCCGGACTGGTCAAGAAACAGACACAAGGTTGGAGTGCGTGTCCTTTGTTGTTGTCGTTGTTGTTGCCGTTTTTGTTGTTGTTATTATTGAAGTTAAACCAATGAAATCAAACAAAAATCTGCAGTAGGTGGTTACCAGGTGCCCTGGTGAGGTTTGCTTCTTTTTTCCTATCAAACATCTACCGTCCTTATCTCCCCTCCTTCTTTTTTATGTTTGTTACTCTCCTATAACACTTCTAATCTTCTGGCGCTCATATGACCTTATGCAGTTGCAAGCGCAGTAAAACCTCCACTAAAACATGTTGTCATTGTTGTTGAAGTTAACCCCAATGAAATCAAACAAAAATTAGCAGTTGGTGGTTACCAGGTGCTCTGGTGTGGGTTTTTTTCTATCGAGCATCTATCGTCCTTATCTCTTCTCCAACTAAACCTTTTTTGTGTGTTTGTTTTTTAAACTCTTATAACACCTGAAATCTTCGGCACTTATATGGTCGCTTTTAAGCGCAAGGGAGCTCTCCCGGAAAATGCTGTTTTGAGAAAATCGGAGGTAAAGTCTTTTCCTTTGTTCAGTTTCTTTAACAGACAAGGAAAGTTTTCTCTAGAAGTAATGAAACCAAACTTCTCCAATAGGTAGGGCAATTCCCACTTTTGGTGTAGGTCAAGATTTCTGACCCCACCCCCCCACCCCCCAACCCAAATCTGGAATCTGGTTAGCCTACTTGTCTTAAAAGAGCGACAGTATGACCTAATGGTGATACTGGTGTCGTAAGACTCTTACTTAAATTAAAACAGATGGAGTACTGATTTTTGTGTCAGTGTTCTTCTCCCGCATTGAAGTGATGTAAGATTTTGATTTCTGTTCTTGTTTCCCAGAACTGGAGCAAAAGTGTGACCTTGAGAGGTCAGTAACGTGTGCTGTCCCAGAAGGCCTTTCCGCGGACCAGACCATGGATGGTCAGCATATGGCAGAAACAACAGACACGCCACGCGCCATAAAGGGTAACTTTGACGACGAAACGCTGGCGCTGATCAGGGAGATTGGCTCAGCTCTGTTGATGAGTCCCACCCCGCAGAAATCGGCGCAGGAAGACAATGAAGAGGAAGAGGACTCCTGTTCCAATATGGTTCGCTACTTCGTGCGCAAAATCGAGAAGCAAGCCAAGCCATCTCCTGTAGAGTCATCTGGAAGTAACGCTCTCGTAGACATCTGTGGTCAAAAGCCATCTGAAATTCCGTCGAAAGAGGATGCCTTGAGATTAGCGCAACAAAGGGCCGTCTCCACTATAGGAGTTGCTGTCTCAGCTCATCTGTCGGGCCAGTGTGCGGAACATTCTGGAGGTTTCAGAATGCAAGACATGTCATGTGGTGAGGGGGCCTTCCGATCAGTGGGTCATGTCGCCATGGGAGATCAAGCGAGCGGGACAGAGGGAGGGTTTCCCATCTCACCAGGCCGCTCTGCTGTCGCTGGAGATGAAGGGAGGAAACTTGGTGCTGCAACAACGAGTCCACAGTCACCGGGTAGTGGTCTCCACTTGCCCCTGGACAGAATGGACGAAGAGAGTTTGTCGTCGGTCAGTCTGACATCCTCTCCGATGGTGAGTCGAGCGGGGCACTCGAGCAGCGAGGAGCCCTCCGTGGTCAGGCATTTGGTGGGCAGGTTTGAGATCAAAAGCCCGGACCGAATGACTCCCGATTTCGGCCAGGATTACTCGCTGAAACACCGAGATTCTGCCATGGACTCCTCGCCGTGCAGAGGCTCTCCAGAATCACAGAGTGACTCTAGTAAAACGACTTCACTCTATCCTACGAGTGATGGAAGCCAGTTTGGGAGTGCAACAGGTGACTTGGCTGGCACAGAGTCCAAATCCAACAAGTTATTTTCTACGCCCATGGAGACGGGCGGCGAGGTTCCACTACACTTTCAGCAATCAAAATTTCCGGGCACCTCTCCCCCAATGTCGTCAGTGCCGCCGTCTGTTGCCCTGGGTACATCTCCGCTGTCAGTGTCATCCCACATGGCACGACAGAAGCATCGAACCCCGGAGGCTCAGCACACTCTGCGATCCGCTGGGGCAGCCACCAAAAGTAGTTTGGCTTTTGACATTGCAGTTGAACTTTATGAGTTAGGGGACACTCCCAAGACAGAAGGGGACGCCATGACTGCGGAGAAAATCGACGATTCCGACGTTGCACTGCGACAACCGGTTCCCACCCCGTTCAGCAAAGACGGCCTTATGGCCTTGGAGAAGAAAAGCTGGCGTCCAGTGCGGCCGCAGTCCGGCGGTGGCGGTCACCACAGTCAGAGACATTCGGTGTCCGAGGGTCAGTTTGACCCCATGGGTTCTTTACACGGGAGCTCGGGAGACAAGAGGAGCGGCGGGCAGCAGTTGGAGCTGTACGAGTCTCCGCACGGCCTGGAGGTGGACACCACGCTGCGGCAGGTGTCGGACGAAGGGCGGAAGATCCGACGGCTGCACGGCAAATCCCACCCGCTGACAAAATTGTCGCAGAAGAGAGTGGGGGGTGGTCCATTTCACAGCTCAATGTGATGATTCAAAAAGGAAAAACAAAACAAAAGAGCTGCTACCAAGAGATATTATACCGAAAGGAGAGAGTGGAGTAGGGTAGACCCCCCCCCCTCACACAATCTTTCAACACTTCTCCTTTCTCTTTCATTAAATGCATGTGTGCACGTTGCCATTTCTCAAAAGTGCACCACCGGAGGACTGGGTTCACGTGGCCGTCTACTGGCTCAAGTACTTCACTTTTCACAAGGAGCTGAGACTCATTGCCTTACCCGCCGCAATAAAGTGTGCCGATTCGCCAGTGCCAGCTCCATGCCAAGCCAAAAGACGGGACGGATAAGATACGACAAGAGGACTAGATTTCGAAACGGTTTGCTTTGCAGATGACTATCTTGCCCTAAACTTTAATCACAGCGAGGAATTACATGTATGGATGTTCAGATTCAAAGAGTTGAAGATATTCTTCTGCTTTGCTCCTTTTGTAGAGTATAGGGCTATATATGTATGAGGCATATATGTTTGCAATGTGATAGAGTAGTTATTGGTAGCGAGTGTGTGTGTGTGTGTGTTTCTTTTAGTGTGTTTGTTACATAGTCAAGCTCTGCAAAGACGTGTTTGATCGAGGAGTGATGCTGGTTTTGACTCTGAACAACTTCTTTGAAAGTTTTTGACATGAACAAATGATAGCGGTGGTATTATAATGTATTTCTTTCACATAAATGTGTCTCGTTGCGGTGGAACCGGGCACTCGTCAATTTTTGGCCATGTGGAGTTATTGGTATCTTCTGAAAGCTTATTCATTTGCCTTGATTTTTATGGAAAAAAAATACCTATTTATCTTGAATAGAAGTCTAGATATTTGCCATCAAAACAGGTGCGGGTAGCGTGGCTTCAGGGGTAAAATTATTGAGAAAATGGCCACCAAAGTATGGTAACTTCTATAGCTTGAGAGTCCCTGGAAACTGAATATTTACATATTTTGTGCGATTAAACGTTATTCAGTAAAATTCACATGGAAATGTGTTTATATATGGACACAAAAGGTTTGAGCCAAGAAACTAAAATTTGATAAAAATTGACTCACTTGCAGAAAAATGGCTGCTTCTTCAATTTCATTATTTTGACGAGCGCCTGGTTTCACCACGATGCCTCACATATATATCATTTTCTCCACCCCCATGTGCTCACAGCAGTTGTCATTTCTTACCTCTGGATCCTTCTTGCCTCAAAGTATTACAATCATTTTTCACTACACACGCACACACTTACTCTTCACACAAACTCCTCTCCTAAACACTAAATCTCTACATTCATAATATAAATACGTGTCACAGCATGGTGGTATCGGGCTCTCGTCAATTTTTTGGCATGTAGAGTTATTGGTATCATCTTAAAGCTTGTTCATTTGTCTTGCTTTGGGTGAAAAAGTTGTCCCATTATCTTGAATAGAATTCGAGATGTTTGTGAATAAAGGAGGTGGGGGTCACCTGGTGTCAGAGGTAAAATTAATGAGAAAATGGCCTCCAAAGATGAGTTATTTCCTTAGGTGGAGAGTCTGTGGAAACTGAAAGCCTTTAACCAACATTTTCAGTAAAAATCCACTTGGAGTGTGTTCTTTAATGGGCATGAAAGGTGTTAAGCCAAAAAACAAAAATTCCCGAACATGCGGCAAAATGTCGGTTTCCTTACTTGACGAGCGCCTGATTTCACCATGCTGCTTCACATATATATTTATTTAATATAGCACACAAGTTTTATTTTCTACACTTGGTGTGCTTTCTATGTATAATGCGAGGGGTGTATTGTGAAGCCAAAATCAAAGCCAGTGTTTGCTGTGTCGCAGGTGTGCTGAGTAGCTGTTTCCAGAATTGGCTCTACTTTTTTAAGAGAGATTTTTAAAAAGATGGTGGGATATTTTTCATTCCCCAGAAACTTTGGTTACAAGAATATATGCGATCAGCTCATGTAAAATTTTCACAATTTTCACAGTAATGATATACGATGTATACATGATACATATCTTGATATCACACACACGTCCTACTTTGAAGACATTTCGCACACTCTGTTACAATTGCAAGTCTCTCATCATCTTTTTTTTCTTTTTTTTTTTCTTTTTTTTCTTTTTTTTTTTCTTTTTTTTCTTTTTTATCTGAAAGGGACAATGTTCCGCACATTTCAGCTCATTCACCGCAACGAGCGTGAAGTGTCGGGAGAGAAGTAGAACACCGGGTGGGTGGTTGGCGAGTGCTCTGATGTGGTTTGCTTCTTCTTTTCTATCGAACATCTATCGTCTTTATCTCTCCTCCTTCTTTATTGTGTATGTTACTCTCTTGTAATACATCTATCCTTATTGGTTCTCATATGACTTTATGCAGTTGCGAGCGCCGTAAAACCCTCTACTATAATAAAATAATCTATCCTTCGGCATTTATATGACCTTATTGTGTTGCAAGTGCCATAAAACTCTTACGAAACTAAAACGTAGAACATCGTTCAGGATTGAGTTCTCGCAAGTTGATCATTTTTATGTTTTCAGTGGCTTTTTTTGTTTGGGTGGGGGGGGGGGTACTTTTTGTTCCATTTCGTAAACTTGTGTTTGATAAATGTATTAATCGTTGGGCGCAAGAAGATTCTGCTGTATATTCTATCAAAACAATCTTTCTATGTTGTGTGTCTGTGTATTTATTTTATCAGCGTCCTTCAGCTTATCAAGCATATGATAGTTGTGAAATACCTCTCCTTACCCATGGGTGGTTGACGAGTGTGGTTTGCTCCTTCTTTCCTATCAGACATCTGTCGTCCTGATCTCTCCTCCTTTTTTTGTGTGTATGTTACTCTCTTGTAACACCTCTAATCTCCGGCACTTATATGACCTTATTGTGTTGCTAGTGCTGTAAAACTCTTACTGAAACGAAAAATCACCTCCCACCCCACCCATCAGAATATTAAAAGACACATACTGTAGCAGCACTTTCCAGTTATATCCCCATTTTTCTCTTAAGCCCGCCCCAATTTCCTCTTGACAAAGTACGACAGACTCCACTGGATGCCCTCAGGCATTAGAACAAAGGGACAACTGTCTTTTAATCAATAATTTAACTTGTTGTTAGAATTTGATACGCCTGAAATAACGTTTTTTTCTTTCTATATCCTTTTTTTTTCTTTCTTGTCGCACGACTTTCTGCTGTGGTTTGATTGTGTATGTCTATCCATGTTTGTGACTCTTGTGTTTTTATCTGTGAAATATCATGAGAAATAACGGTCAAATGAACAATCAAAAGTATGTGCTGAGAAGTAATATATCGAAATCGCTATTTTTTGTCAATATGTTTATAAATGTGGATGGTCAGAAGCATGTTTGTCTTCTTTCACATCAACAAGTATAAGCTGGGGACACATCCACCCACAGTTCAGTTCATCAACAGATAGGTTTTTCGAATAAGGTCATCATTTCTTATATGTATGCTCTTTTTCCACTCTCAGAGATCAAAACATACATATATACGCTCTTTGTGTGCTTTCAGAACATTTCGCTGTACAAGTTCATCATTTTCCTGTGCTATTATCGACTTCCAAAGGTGGACTTGTATGTGTGTGTGTGTGTGTGTGTGTGTGCGCGCTTTCTTTGTGCTCCAAGGACTAAGGTGAATCTCACAGTGTAAAACACACATCATTTTTTTGTCTGCTCATCATTACCCTCTCAGGATGCAGTCTTGGGGTTTTTTCTCTCTCCTTGGTTTCTTTTTTTCTTTTTTTTTTTTAAAGGAAGGTGGCTGTTGAACAGAACAGACAATCATGTTGGTATTGACCTAGCACC